CCTCCTCTTTTTATGATTTTGAGTTGGAACATTTCCCAGGTACCGTTTTCAAAACCTTTGCATGAACTGTACCAATACTGTCTACCCCCCTGAAACGTGTTCAACTGAGAGGACAGTCATCCTTTCCGCAACACCCCCAAGCATCTGAGAGCAGGATTTGGGCTAATGGATTGCACAGCGCCTCGAAAATTTGACGTCTCGTAAAGCACTGGCTGTTCAGCCAATAAAACTAGAAAGCCGATTCATAACCAGCGAGGATATTTTAATTGCTGCAATTCCACAGTTCTCTCTTCTACGCAGGACGTAGATAGGGATTTAAGATGAAGCCATAGAAACTGCAAACGGCAGCTTGGGGGGGAGCGCCTAAAATTGCAGTTGCAAAGTCTGCCAGTGCTGTATGCTATGGGAAGGGTTTTACCTTTTTTTAAAAAATATAACCTGAAATAAAATAATCCCATCTCCCTTTTAGCTGCCAAAAAGACATTCTGTTCTTGGCTACAACTTCTTACTCATCTATTTTACTGAAAACAGCTTTTTGAACAAGTACATAATGCAATGGATCAAACCCACAGGAATTCCTCTCTGGCATCACAACTCCCACTATCCTGGGAATACTTTCTAACAAATATTTAGCCCAGATGTGCATTCCTCCCTCTCTCTCTTTTTAAAACATCAAACTTGGGCAGGAGGGAGGAGAGGGGGTTTATATCTAGTGGGGAGGGGGAAGCAAACTGCAGTCTGCTAAATCCTATTCCTGGCTCTCAGCAAGTTGCAGGGTAAAGCCCTAATAAAACATTAATTCCTTGCATTCCAGTGCAACTACCCTACTCTTGGGCGACATGTCAACAGTAAATATTTCGAGTCATTTCGATTTAAGAAGGTTTGGCATTTGTCTAGCCAGCCAAAGAGGAAAGCAACCAAACACAGTCTCAGGGCTAGTTTAGTCTATTTATACCAAACTTCACATTGACACATGAGGGCTGTATACGCAACTCGCTGTTCCTTTTTGTTGCTGAAGAGGAAATTATTTACATGAGACTTTTGAGGCCATTATACACGGCTACACCGTGGAGGAAGCAGGGGGCACTCGAGCAGCCACGGGCATAAAAACTCAGAAACTTCTGATGCTCAAGCCGGTAGTTGTAATTTCGGCATCTGCTGATCTCGGTGGCTGTAGACTGGACCCGCGCCCCCTCCTGCA